ATGAATTTACCGTCTAACGAGTGATTGCGGGATATCTATTGAACTCCCTGTTTTGCAGATTTACTTTACTGACTTTTGTTGTTATGTTTTTGTTGTCTGTTGGCACCAAGTTCAGGCTCAATAAAGAGTATGAACCTATCTTTACTATACGTTGCAATGAGTACCTTCTCATCACTATTGATTTTACTATCAAATTTTTCCTTTTGGTTTTAATCCATTTTTATTGCAATTATGACTGCTTTATGACTTTTGTTACCGATCCATCTTCTCTTATCTCTTTCATCAGTGCATTCCTAACATGCACTTTGGTCTTTTATCTAATAAATTTCCATCTCTATTCATGTGTCTTTTGGGTTAATTGTCTAGACAGTAACCTCAGCTGCTAAAACCCACTGTTACGACTCATAACAAAGAGATCAGCCGTTCCTTATTTTATTTGCCTTGAAAGAAGAGCTGATTGGGGAAGTGGTTTGATTTACGTCTGTTATCACAAACGCGCTCAGCTAATATCACTGATTGTGAGTCGCGAAAAGCATGTGTTATTATGTTATTGTTGCTATCTCACAGAGAACATTGTTATATTGTAATTGCTTCAGGCTTTGTGACGCTCTGATTCAGTTTTATTCTTTTTGTTTCCATATTCCACTTATGAGATATCAACTCATACTCAGACTTCAGAACTCCTCTTTTAAGTTTAATTCGGTTTTCAGTGAAATTAAAACGTTTTGAAATAGGCATCTGGAGTTCCTTGCGCATATCAACTCATACCTGCAAATTTAAGAAAGGGTTTTTTTCCTATCTGATCTCCATGGTTCATTTTTCCCGTTTTGAAGGTTTCTGCATTTTTCACATTTTTTTCTCGTAGTTTTTCCTATGCTCCATCAATAATGTGAACGCGTCATTGTTGATATGTTTTTGTGGAAGTTTGCCTATAGACCTTGTTACAAAGCAATTCATTTTTTTCGAGAAGTTGACACAAAAGCTTATGCCATAACAACAAAAACCCTCTACGAAGCCAAAGTTGAGCAAAGCGCTTCTATAATTTAATTTCTTTTTCTTCCACTATTCTCCGTAGTTTTCCGATCACAATTTTTTTGGACTTGCTCTGCATTGAACATGTGCTTGATGCTCTAAATTTGTGTCTTCTCATGAAGGTAGACATCCCTACAAAAAGGCCCGTACGAACTTTGTTTGCTCAGTCTGTATGTGCATATGTTTGTTTGTTGTCCAGTTGATTCTCACCCGTTGAAGACCTGAAATTGCTGCTAGCAGAAATTGCGCACTTTGCTCTTTTTTCTCCTCAAATTATGTAAGTATTTATAGCGGTTTGGAATTCTGCGCGGGCTAACCTAGAAAGCTATGTTGGAACCATTAGCTGTATCTGAATTCTCTGTAAGTTCGATTTTTATCATTGGTGCATATATCTTATACTAAAGCTTACATTTTCAGCTCCCCTATCTCCATTATTACGTAGAGGCAGTTCTTGTAGCTACAGTCGTTTACTTATTGATAAACAGGAGGAATTCCAATCGAGCTCAGGAGCCCAAATTGACCGAAAAAGTAGGGTTTTGCCTTTTGAACATTCAGATAATCATAAGTGTGTTTTTTTAAGCAAAAAGATGAACTAATAGCGGAATGGCATCCGGAACCACTCGTGCCGGAAACCCCGCAAGATCATCCAGTCTTGAATCAGAAATTAGCTGAGGGGTAAGATTTGCATAATGCCCTCTTTAATTGAAGTTTTATAATTAATATCTAGAAAAATGACTAAATATGTAAAGATTGATGGGAAGGAATATCTCAATATGGCCACATCGAATTTTCTGGGTTTCATCGGTGAGAAGAGGATTGAGGTAATCATATTGCTTTCGCTTATTTTTTGATTCTTTTGTTGAGTAAGTTTTATTGTGGGAGATTCTTATGATTCATTTTGGCATCAATTTTGAAGTGCAACTGCATCATCAAAAAAAATTGGTCGCTTAGAGATTTGTTTTCTATAAAGTTGGAGAGAGTCGTCATTTGTTTTCTTGAAAGTTTGACAAAATCATTAAACGCCATAATTATGTCATGAATTTGTCAAATGAATGTAGTTTTCAAAAAGGCGATAATGCGTCTGCAGATTGCCGATTAGATTTTAAGTTACTTCTTATATTTGGTGATTGATGAATATCTTTAAATTATAAGACTGGAGATTAACAACAATTTGTTAGGATTTTAAATTTTACAGGATGTTGCCAAAAAGACCATACAGAAGTATGGTGTAGGTTCATGTGGACCTCGTGGATTTTATGGAACAGTTGATGTCCATCTTAATCTGGAAGCTGAATTAGCCAAGTTCGTTATAATTTTGTGACTTTCATTGCCTTTTCACGTTTTATCAAACTTTTCAAACTATCAATCCTCTTAGAGCATTTTTCCTTACTTCAAACTTTTTTGCCAGTTCTGCTCCTGTTCTCGTAATTTTTACCTCTTCAGGTTTATGGGCTGTGAGGAAGCTGTACTTTATAGTTACGGGTTTGCCACTGTGGCTAGCGCCATCCCAGCTTATGCAAAGAAAGGAGATATCATATTTGTTGATAAAGGTTCGCCATGCTTAATTTATCTTCACTTTATTCAAGCATTTAATTGTTTTGCAGTTGACCGCCCCATTCATTTCTAATGTTGTAGGTGTAAACTTCGCAATCCAGAAGGGTCTACAGGCTTGTAGAAGCCGTGTTGAATGGTTCGAACACAATGATATGGAAGATTTGGAAAGGCTGCTTAAAGAACAAGAAGTCAGAGACAAGAAGGTATGTAAGTATAGTTTTTATCTCACTACCACTAGAACATGACTTGTTCTTTTAGGATCCCAAAAAAGCTACAACTATCCGAAGATTTATTGTAGTGGAAGGGCTGTATGTGAATACCGCGGATCTTTGCCCTCTTCCACGTATAATGGAGTTTAAATGGAAGTACAAGGTGGGGTTTTTTTCTTTTGATTGTTCCGAATCTTGGAAGTTTTTTTT